TTTGATTTGATTTGAAAAAATCAAATCAAATTCAAATTGCTTAAATATTTGATTTGATTCGATTTTGAGGAACCCTAGTAAATATTAAAGTAAATTTTAGATTATTCTTAAAATTTCTTTAATTTTTAATATATAGAATAATAAAATTTATATATTTATTGTAGGAAATAATCAAATAATATTTTTAAATAATTTTTAAGTAGTTTTATAATTAAATAATTAGTTGAATAATTGCAAATTTGCAAATTTATTTATTTGTAATATTTTAAAAAATTTATATTTATATTTAAATGAGTTTTTATTCTAAAAAAATGTAATTTTTGGTTTAAAATAAAATAAAAATAGATAAAAAGTATTAAATAGACATAAAAAAAGGAGTTTTAAAAAAGTTTCAATTATTCATATAATAAATATATCAAATAATAAATATCTTTTTAACAAGATCTTCTTAAACTAGCAAAACTATTTGCTTTTAAAAGTTTATAAAAATTTTCACAAGAAGTTAATGAACATTTTGATATAATAACTATTCGATTTAATTAGAAATGTAATACTATTTATATATCATAAAGTAAAAAAAGATGAAAAATCATATAAAATTTTGTCAATCAAATGATCGAAATCTATATCAATATCATTTGCTATAATCGATATGTGATATGTCTAATGACTGATATGTAATAAAGAGAGAAAAATTGTTAAATTAAATGTTCTCTTAGCTGAGAATAGTTTTTGAAGCTGCAGAATCATTTTTATTATACTTTGAAGCTTTGAAAACAGTTTACTATTGATTTGAATTAAATCAAATATTTGAATATTTGATTTAATCAAATTATGAAACCCTAAATGTAATAACTAAAGATTATTATCCTATATTAATATTAAAAATATAATTGTAATTAATTTTAAAATTTTTAATTAGTTGCAACTTAAGTTGCAACTCTTGATTTACAATTATTTATGATGTTACACAACTATTAATTAAACGGATTGGAATATATAATCAATTGAGTAATAGCAAAATTTAATTTAATCTTTACATAAATTGGAAGACTTTAATGATGTTGAACTTCAATTAATGTTGATATACTTTCAGTATTAAGTTTTTGAATTAACAAGTATGAAGATGTTTAATTTATCATGTGTGACTCATAATTTCTTTTAATATTAGAAAAATATCTTGATAACATTATATTATAACTAAGTTGATAGTATATAGTTTAAAGTATTTTATAATATTAACTATTATTATATAATATATAATTTTTATTTAGTTTAATTTTTATCTATTATTTTATTAATAAACAAAATAATTAATATATTAAAATTTATTAAATTTATAATCAAAAATATACAAACTTTAAAAATAATGTTTAAAAATTATTTAAATAATAAAATTTTAAATAATATATTTTAGTATTATCTTATAACTTAATATCTAAAATTAGTCAATTTATCAATTTATTATTACTTAAAGTACTATATTTACTTTAATGTAACTATTTTTTGATTATTATTTATTTAAAATTAGATTATTTATTTATAAATTGATTTTAATAGTTTAGTTTTAATATTAAATATTTCTTATATAATAAATATTATTATATATTTAGTAATTAAATTTTATATGTTAATAAAAAAAGAAATCATATTTATAAAAATAGAAATGAATTAGAAGAAGGTTATAAATTTTATGTTAAAGTCTTTATATATAAAAAATTACTATTCAATTAGCTTATTAGTCTTTTAATTTATATCAAAATAATCATAACTTATACATCTATTATTAATATATAATTGATAAAGGTTTGATTGATTCTTATTAGTAAGATACTAATTATAAATTTGTATTTTATATTATATTTAGTATTAAAAATAAAGAATTATTCTATAAAATTGAAATTAAAATTAATAAAAAAATAAAAGTAAAAAAAAGAAGTTTTAAATTAAATTTAAAAATATAACAAATAATTAGCTAGATATTATTATCTGAAAAAGATTGAGTTTGTTATATTATAAATTTTAAGTTGATTGATAAAATATCTTTGATCACTACTATTACTTTTTGTCAAAGATAATAAATTTATTATAATTTTTCAAGTTGAATTATATGATGATTATCTAAGTATAAATGAAGATTTAATGAACTGTGATAGAGGTTACACGTAAGTAGATTACACAAATTTTATGAGAAAATAAATGAAAGGATAATTTTTTAAGTATAAAAGAAAATGATTTATTAAAAGATTATAATGTTATAAGTGATGATATAATCACTATTGCTAATTCTTCTTATTTATTTTTGCTAAATTAATTATTTTAAAACTATTTGTTCTAATTATTCTATTTATACATTTAGAATCCTTAATATGATATAATATCTTTTTATAATTACTATATTTACTTCTGATTTTTAGACATGGTAATTTGTATTACATAATGCTAATTTCATTGATTAATGATTAATATTACAATCTATAATTACATTTTCATTATGAGATTACTTGCTGCAGTTTATTTGATAATAAATATTTAATTATACTTTTATATTACGTCCCTAATTATATAATTTGCTATACTTCATTTTCACTTGAGTAACAATATATAAATTATATATGGTAACATTAAATAGAATATTAATTAGCATAATTTAAAGTAAAAGTATAAAAAAAATTATTTAGCCTAATTTAGTCTTAAATTAAACCTTTAACCTAGACTAGGAATAGTAATGGTCAGAAACTTTTGACTGACTGATATCAGTTATAGTTATGACCAGTCATGATTGTAACTATTAGCATTCCTAATCTAGACAAAATAGGCAAAATTAATTTATGATAAAAATTTATTTTTTAATATTATTTTGATATAGCTTATAAAAAAGCAATGTTTTATTTGATTTATAATAAAATTTTAACTATAAAAAAAAAGGCGAAATTAATAAGTTTTTTTAAATTAGAGTATCATTAATATTTTTAATCTAAAGCATAATCATTTGAAAATGTTTTTTATATAAATTTAACTAATTATTTATTATAAAGTTTTATTAGATATTCTAACTTTGTATTCATATTTTTATTTAAAATATAATTTTTAAAAAAATATCTATTTTCTTATTTTAATTATTACATTTACTCACAAATATCTATGGGCTTATATAGAAACTAAACTTTAAATTTCAATAAAAAATTTCTGGTAAAATTAAGAAGTCTATAATTTATTATTACAATCTAATATTAAAATACTTAATAAGGGATTAAGGTAGTTATTTGCAAATAAAAATAGAATGAAGTATTAGTAACTTAATATTTTATGTCAAATTTCATTGAAGAAAATCTGTATAATTTTTATTTGAACAAAAAAAAAAATACAAAATTTCACCTTTTTTTTTTTTTTTATTTATTATTAATTTTTTTTTTGAAAAATTCCTTGATTGCAAGAACTAATTATTAAAAATAGGGATTTATGATAAAAATTCTTCAATTGTAATGAGGAATTAAAAATTATTTCTTAGTAACTACTTCAAGGAATCAAACTAAGAAGGCTAAATGAAGATAAAAATTTGCGGTGTTGGCAAATTTTTATGTGCAAAAAAATTCTTTTACTAATTTGAAATTAATTTATAATATTCAATTTACAACATATTAAACTGTTTTAATGATTCATCGGATAAACTTTGATGGCTAGAATCTAAAAGTGAGTTTTACACTGCAAAATATAGTCCAACGCGACATTAGAAAAAAAATTGGCTCTCGAGAATTTTGTGCGTTATCACATAATTTTGAATTTTTGAAATGTAATTCGAAAATGTAAATTCGTTTTGGTATACCTTTTCAAAAATAAGTGCAATAATTTGAATATGTTATTTACAATTTTTTTTACGTTTATTCAAAGATAATTAAATTATAAAGAGTTATATTTTATATTACAATCTATAAAGTCTAAAAAAGTCTATAACGCTATACTAAAATGTTTATAAAGTCAATGAATTATTATTAATAAATAAAGAAAATCTAAAAAGTCTTCTAAATAATAAAAATTCTAAGGAAAAAATGTTTGTCATATTGTTCTTTTAGACCTTTTCCGATGAAGTAATTGGATGATGAACTCTTGGCCAAATATTTAAGGTGAAATAAGAATTTTCTTTTGTTAATATTAATGCTATTGCCAAATACCAAGCTAAGAAAGCAACGACAACTATGGTAAAAATAAAAATAAAAAAAAAATTAATTAATTTTTCGACCTTCACAGTAAAAAAAAAAAAAAAAATTAAAAAAATTTTTTAATTACCTCCAAGAATACCGCCGACGACTTCACAAAATTTATTTTCAGTAAAGGTCGCAATCGTAAGAAAGACATTGATGAAAATCATTAAGAAGAAAATTGCAATCAAAATGAGATTTGATTTTAGCACACAGAGAAACATTAAAAACGTAACTATTTTGAATAAATTTTTTTTACGTGAATTAATAAGTTATCGGAATTCGTGTAATTTGAGGGAAAAATCACAATTATCAAGTCAATCAAAGATACTTACAAATCGTCCAACCTATGAGAAATATACCAAGCGCATTTTTTAACATTTCTGGATCATCTTTATAAGAAGCGATAATACCTGTGGCATCTAAATGAACGAATCCGAAACAGATCCAATAACCACCTAAAAGTAAAAATATAAAAAAAATATATTGGTTACACAATCGTGAATAAAGCTTTGATTTTACCCAAATCATGAATGATCCTTACCATAAGAGGAGAAAACTGTGGCGTGGAATACATCTCCTCTCTTCAATTCAAACAAACCGGCTAATAATTGAATAGCACCACCATAAAATAAAGCTAAGCCGAGACCAACATTACTATTGATTATTCCTCCAGCCCCCGTTAAATACATCGAATACACAAATGATGTCATTGCGAAAGAACTCAAGGCTATTTTAAGAAGCAAAAAAAAAATTTAGATTTTTTTTTTTTTTAAAAAAAAGAGTTTAATGTTAATAAATTGATATCTACCCAAGGGTGCAGCATTTGCTTGATATTGTAATTTAAGTGAATTTTCCTCGAAGTGAATATGTTGGAGAGTTGTAGTTGACCCCGCCATTTTTTTTGTTTGTTTTTTTGTTTTTTTTTTTTAAAAAATAAATTTGTGAAAGGGAAATGATAATTTCTTATTTCAAATTGAGAATTTTTTTATGCAATCTACCTAAACTTTTGGTTGTTTATATAATGAATTCGAAGTGCAAATTTTTAATATCACCGGAATAATGATTTTTCTAGAGAGGTGATATTCTCAAAAATTTGTGGCGTGATAAAAAAAAATTGCAATTCAAAATGTTCCTTTTTTTCATAATAAACCCATAAACAGGACACAAAAGATCACCTCATTTCAAGAATCAAACAAAAAGTTTTCGAGACTAACCTTGTGCAGCTTAACGGTTTATGAAATGTTTGTCATAAAAAAAAAGGACAATATGTGGGAAAAATCAATTACATATACATTTTCTTATTGTAAGGATTATCAATCATCACACGATCATAGTAAAAAAAAAATGTAGAAAATTTCTTTCGAATTCGACCCAAACATACGGTTAATTAATATCTAATAGTGTATGATAAGAATAGGATATTGTGTTCTGAAATTTATTCACATTCATTTAAGAGAGATTCGTTTGCGCAAAAAAATCAAAGAATTACTTGAATGACATTCATTAAACAATAATTAAGTAAAACCCCTACCTAAATATGTTCCTTTTATATCAGAATCGAGCATGATTGTGCATAAAAAATTCACATTCGGCCTAGAATCTTATTGGTTATTAACTTTAGTCGTTAGAAACCGGTTTATTTTCAAATTACACAAAATAATTAATTATGTGACTAGTAAGTGTAGGATTTTCAAATTACGTTTATAAATTTAAAACTAGATCTATATATTTATATTTATATTTATTTATTTATTAATTATTCATTCTATGATTTCCAAAGTCATTTTTTGGTCAAATTACAAAGGATGTCACAAGCAATAAAATCAAAGAGATGGACTACGGACGAAATCATTGAAATTCTCTCGTATATCAATGATCACTTCAAAAATTCATCTGTTTCGTTAGCAAAGGCATGCGATGAAGCAACGGAACATCTTCATATAGAAAGAACTCGTAAGAGCGTTTATTTAAAGATTAGGAAACTAATCCAAACCGTGAAGGTATGGTTGAGTGACCACATAAAGAATGACGATGCGATCATTTGGCAAGATGATCGAGTTTATAAATTGTTGGAAACCATTTGTAAGAGATCGATGAAGGATGAAGCAACTTTTGGAGAAAAAGAAAAGTTACAACAGGAACAAATTTTTAAAGAAAACAATAAGATTGAAGACAGCGTAATTATCAAAAGCGAGGAACATTCTAGTGATCTGACAGATTCGACAATAACTGGAGATTATGTCGATCCTGTTGGAATATACATGTAAGAAAATTTTTTTTCAAATGATTTTTTATCGATACATTGGTTTATTAAAAAAAAAAAAAAAAAAAAAAATAGGATGAACGAAGCAAATTCGTCTCTTTTTCAATTGTCATTAAAGATCATTAATGATAGAATCCGTGAAGTTGAAGATGACGCAAGGAAAGTCTACGGTTCTGCAAGTGATGCACGGGATGTGAAGTGTCATGAAATTCTTCAAGTGATCAAGCAAACGCACGAGTATCGAGATGAAATGTATCAATTGTTTGCGGAAGTTGAAAAAAAGGTTAATGAGATGAAATCATTATGAAAATTTTATTTTATCCCTTTAAAGGATTTCTTCCTTTTGTTTGCGTTATTTTTATTTTTCATTAGCCAAAGATACAAGAATTCATGTGGCAATTGCAGAATTGTTATTCGCTTTAGGTTCCTTAAAATAGATTAATGTCTTATGCAGGAATTAAGTTTTCCAAGTTTCCTGAAGAAAAAAAAATAAATACAATACGTGGTTTTACATTTTTAAAAAACGAATTTTAGATCTACAAAATTACTTCTAAATAATAACTTTGGGCGTCTTTGTTCATTTGATGAGATGACCAATTGTTACGTAGAATTTAGGAATATCTCACGTTTTGATGATTCCTATTTAAACACTTGGAAAAAATAAATTTCATTTTTTTTTTTAAAAAAAAAAAACAAAATCAATCAAAAAATTATCTAAACTCATTATCAGTTTGTTTTATACAAACATATTTTGTTAAGGGAAAATAAAAAAAAAACAAGTTTAAAGCAAAAACAAAAATAATGCCTCGGGAAAATTATAAACCAAAACGTTGGGACCTTTCCGAATTAATCCAAATCCTTTCTTATATTAATACACATTTCGAATTATGGTATGAAAATCCTCACGTTGCTTGTACTAAATCAATGGAAACTACTAAAACTTCTCGAGGTATTAAATCGGTTTATGGTAAAGTTCATAGAATGATTAAAGTTATGGATGATTATCTTAAAACTGGCAAAAAATCTTGTGATATGGTTATCTGGGAGGATAAAAGAATTTATGAGATGTTAGAAAAAATTTGTACAAGATTCAATGAAAGGAAGGGTCAAGAAAGTGAATCTTCGACAAAGAAAGGAAAAAAGAGAGGTCGTAAGAGAAGAAATGAACTTACGGGTGGAATTGAAAAGGATACCATCATAATTAATGGTAATGTAGTTATGAATAAAAAAGTGAAATTAACAACAAGGTAATGTCGTGTAATCATGACTTAAAATTACAGTTATTTATTAATAAATTTGTATTCTATTAATAAGTATTTCTTTATTTTTCTTCATAGCATCGAAGAAGCTCCTCAAACCACAAATGAGGAACCTAGGGAATCTAGAGAGATTGCTGCTGGTCAATTGAACTTGTCTATTCCTTCTGTACCCTTTTCAGTCGAGATGATTGACGAACTCTACAATAAACAAATTCAAAAGGCCGAGCACCATGTTCAAGAATTGTTAAACTTGTCTAAAAACTCGATCGATGTTAGATATAAAGAAGTTCGTGATCTGACCGCGCAAATATTTCAACGTCAATCCGAACTTAAGAAAATGATCGATGAGGTTAATGACAAGGTAGAGAAGTTGAAAGACTTTAAACTCTTAAAAGTGACCATGTGATAGTAGAAGTATACGAGCGAATGTACGATGATGTTAACTGACGAAAAACTTTCATATTTTTTTTATTTTTTTTTATTATGATTTTGAAATCAGATAGTATTGTCTGTTGTGTTATTTTACGTTGCTTATTTTTGTCTTTACAAATAAAGTTTGTTAGTCTTTTATGTTACTAGATGTCTGAATCAACTTGCAAAATAAATTTCAAATTAAAAACACGTTGTATTTAAATTCCCACGTCTACTTGATTCATCAACAGAAACCTATTTAAATGTCCTAGTTAAATGATTGGTAAATGAAACAGCTAAACAAACCCCCAAATTTCGATCCTATTATAAATAAATACAAATAATTAGATTCTAACCTAAAAGAACTTATAAAAAATTACGCCTTACTAAAATTAATTTCAACCTTAATGACGTCCGAAGCTGTTTGATTTCGTCTTATTAATAGGCGAATGATTAAATTGAAAGTGAAACAATTATCATGCGTAGTCCCATTGTGTAAACGTTTTGTTGTGCGTCTATTAGGACCTCAAATGGTTGATAATTGTCGACGCATAACGTATGTATGTACATTCTCATCCAATCATCGGTCCTAAATAGACCACTTAATAGGACAACATACTATTTATTCCAAGAAAACGAAATCACCTATAAATCCTACCTTCTACTTAATATAATTATTGTTGATGTTTCTTTCAAAACGGTGAAGAATATCTTCAAGATTGAAAACCTGATCGTAATCGTCCAGTGGTTGATCGTCTACATTTTATAATTGACGGAAACAATTACCAGTCAATACTAGCGCATCAACTAAAATCTTATCGTCAGGGGTTTGTATATGATTCAACCATTTTACTATTGAGGTATTGGTATTTCCACTCTCACGGAACCAAGTCTATTGAGAAATTCAATCAACATCGATGTTGTTTACAAAATAGAAGGAAAGTGTTCGTTAATTATCTATCTCATCCATTATCTTTTTTATTCCCCCCCTTTTTTACAAAAAAGTGGAATACAGAATGTTTATCATTTTAATAATCTTTTTTACCGACAAACTCTCTTACCATTAAAATTTAATCCAAATAATAACGATAAGGTATTATCAGTAATAATAGGTCTATCACAATGGAATTTTGTGATTATTATTATCTGCCATAGAACCAGTTAAAAAGGATAAAAGGCTTTATTTTTTATTTTTTGTTGTTTATTTATTGATAATCAAGTTGTACGAAAAAGCTCGCATTTTAAATCACGCTCTTCATAGTCGCACCTTTATACCCTTATGAGAATAGCCCCGGATATAATTAATTTAATGATATTAATACATTTAACCCTTTTAAGAAAAAACGTGCCATTTAGAAAGCATTTTAAAATGAAAATTTTTTATATGCTTGATGTGTAAGTTAATTTGACTAAATTACTAAATATTTAATTTACAATTTAAAAGCACATTTGGAAAAATATAAATGGTTACAATAATATATTTTTAGTAATAATCATTTACATATACTATTATAAATTTGTATAAAAGTATAAAAAAATATAAGTAATAATTAAAGTTTATTTTATTATTTAAAAAATAATTTTGGTGATATTAAAATAATAATACTAATAAAAATATTATTTCTTAAATAGTAAATTTTTACTTAAATTTTATTATTAATAAAATGCAAAATTTTATATAAATAATATAATTTTTTTTAATTTAATTAGAATGTATTGTAATATTTATATTATTATAAATTATTATTAAAATTATATTATTAAAAATTTTAAATTTATATAAAAATAAATACCTTATTAAAATAAATAATTTAAAATTAATTAGTAATTAATAATAATTTATAAAATGATTAAATGAGCTAAAATTATTTTAAATTAATATTTAGCATTAAATTAAAATTTATTTTTATATATGATATTTTTTTATTTATTTACTTTAAAAAATTCAAATTTTTTAAAAATTATTAATTAATTATAAAATTACTACTGTAGTAATTATAATAATATAAATATAGCATGTATAAAGATAATTTAGCAATTAATTTCAAATTTACAACTTGATGTGATATAAGTTAAAATTAGTTGCAATATATGTTATAACAGTATAAGTTGCAACATGTATAGGTTAAAACTAATTATAACATATATTGCAACATTAAAAATTGCAACACATTAATTACAGTTCTCATCTTTAAGCATGCATTTTCTTTAAAATTATAATGAAATATAAATATATCTTTAAAGAAATGTATAATTTAAAAAAAAAATTTTATAAAATCTTTATATATTTAAAATTTTATAAGATATGCATTTATAATAAAAATATATAAAGTATGAATTTAAAAAGTAAATATTTAAACTATTATATAAATTAAAAAAAAAAAATAATTAATAAATTAATATATTTTAATTATTTAAATAAATTTGCTTAATATATATAATTAATTTATATTAGTAATATAATTCAATTTTTTAATTTTTGATATAAATAAACTTTATATAAAAGCTTGTCAATAGAAAGGAAAAAAATCTAAAAAAATTTTTTATAAGTTAATATTAAATCTGAACTTATTTTACTAAAAAATATTCATATTTAACATATAAAAAAAAAATTTTTTTTTTTTAGATTTTCTCTCTTTCTATTGATAAGCTCTTATATTATTACTTATTATATGAAAAAGTAATCAATAGAAAAGGTGAAATTCAAAATTTTATTAATTTTAATTATTAATACATATAACTAAGATTAACTAAGTGATCTAATAATATAAAATATTTAAATTTTCCTTTTTCTGCTGATTACCTTCCATATTATTATCAATTTAAAAATAAATATTTAATTTAATTTTACAAGAATTTTATTTAATATATATTTTATAATAATTAATAATTAATAAATTTTAATTTATAAGCATTTTGTAATAAATAGAAAGAAAGCTACAAATACTTTATAAGTTAAATATGATTTTTTATAATAAATAGATACAGATTTAATATTAATTCAAAAAAATTTTTTTAGAGTTTTTTTTTCTTTTTATTACAAAGCGTTCATATTAATTATAAATTTTACAATTTTTTAAAATATTTTTTTTTTTGAAATAAATAATAAGTTTAAATAAATTATATATTAGATATATTTTTTTAACAATTAATTCATATAATAAAAATAATAATAAAAATGATTTTTATTTATACTAAAAGACTTGATAAATGAATATAGAATAAAAATGAAAAATTAAGAATAATATAAAATTATGTGATAATGAAATTTTTTTGTGATAATTATAAGTTACAGAATATATTATAAAATTATAAATAATTGATAAATAAAAATTTATAAGAAAGATATGAATTTATATAAAGCAGTAAAAATTTTGCATAAAAGTAATAGTAATTCAAATCATGCATAATTTGCAAGTTAATATTATAAATATATATTGCATCATATTAAATATTATTTAATAATAGATTATTACATAATTTTTATATTAATTGATAAATTTAATATACATTTTGTAATTAGTTGCAACTAAATATTTGTAACTTGAGTTGCAACTAGTAAAATTAACTAATAATATTAATGATATATAAAGGATATTTAATCAAATAACCATTTGGATAAATTGTAAACCCAAAATCAATTTGTAAATGACTATTGTAAATCTGAGTTCTTTACAAATCGATCATAAGGTAATTTATAATGTGGTCAAGATATTTGAATAATATTTTTTTATGGTCAGGCCAAGCTGAAAATGTTACAAAAGAAAAATAAAAAATAGGTAAATTTGAAACTAAATTTTTAATAAATAATTGTCGTTAAAAGTCTGCGACATTTTGTTTTATTTTTAGAAAGGCATATATAAATACAATTTAAACAGATTAGAATTTATAATAACATTCGTGTAACCTAAATAATTCATTATTGCACTTTCTCTAAATATGTTAAATAAAAAACATTTTAAACTTTACAATTCAGGCAGAAAAATAAATATGCTTCATTTGTGAATCTTTCGATCCCCCCCCCCTTTTTTTTAATTAATAACGTATTATTAGTTTGAGGATATTTTCATTAGGTAATGGTTCGAACTTTTTATAACATATACCTATATTTATTTAAGCATTTAATATATGTTAATAAACAAAGATATGTTAAATTTAATTTATTGCGCTAGATCTCGAGAGTTTATTTATCATCCAAATGTCCTAAACCATTAACGGTTCAAAAATTACAAACACGTTGGCACTATCTTTAACGAATATGCATGTTATAAACTATCATTTTAATTTAATAATTATGCAGTCTTTGAATGCAAAATATGTATCACGCAAAAAAAGTTAATAGATATAGATATCGATAATATTTGACAACCTAATAATTATATACGTATGTTATATTTTTTTTAAATTGATTAGAATGTCTCCCCCAAGTTCTTTACTCACTTATAAATGCATCATCATATATAATTTCCAAATCCAAACAGATAACATCAAGTTGTACCTAACATTTCCTCTTTGGATGGATTTTGAATGCAATCTTCTATATGAACATGCGCTTCAGCATATCCTCCTTTCGCGGATTTTAAATACCAATCAAAGACACCTTTTCATTTATATCTACTCTTATACCAAAACGGTAGCAATGTCCTAAAAAGAACATTGTGCACCATGGATCCATCTAAATGCCTTCTTTTCATCTTTATTAAAATAAATAAGTATATTATGCATTTGCTCTTCCACGGTTTGCAGATTTTTAAAACCATTCCATCGCTTTTCTTTGTTCCTTTACTGAATTCGTAATATTGTCCTAACATCCATTATGCATCTGTATTTACCCCTTCCGCAGAAAGTCTTTCATTTTTATCCGTTCTTATGCCCAATCGAAAACTTTGGGCTAAGAGATATTGTTCATTGATATCTGCTCCTAAAGCAGAATAACGCAACCATATAAATACGCTTTGTTCGTCTAAATCGGTTCTTGTTCCTACACTATGATGATAGCGATTATATTGTGCAACAGACATTTTTTTTTATTTCTTTTTTAAGATTTAAAAGGGTTTTTTTTTTGTAGAAGATTATTTTTACGGTATGGGTCAAAGAATCTTTCGCGTCTTAACTTCGTTGATAAATAAAAAAATCTTGATTTAGTTATTTTTTTTTGATTTGTGTAATCTTCATAAATTTAATTGCTATTAATGATTCCCAAAATAGAACAAAATAATAATAATGTGTAAAACTTATGACCGCAATAAATCTTAAAAACAATCCATCTTCATGAACGATACTATTGGAATAAAGTCTGGTCTTTAGTAATTAGATATAAATTTATGGACTTGCCTGCAGATGATAATTTAGAGACAATTTTGATATGGGATAGTTATATTTTTTTTAAAAAAAAAAGACATGAATAGTGCAATGATAAAAAAAAAAAAAATAAAGTCTGATTAAAATTAAGCTTACTAAAATTTAGTATGGTTACCTTTTTACAGAATTACGTTCATACGTAATATCAAAATATATAATTTTTTTTATAGTATCTGTATAATATAAGCTAACTTATATCATGTATAACGAAACATTAATGCGAAATATGATATAGCGATAGTTCATCTTGGTTTTGTTTTGGAAAAAAAAAATGAAGAATTGTAATCATTCAAATAAAATAGTTCAACGAATAAAATCAACAAGTATTTTCAAAATCAGAGTATATAATGTTTATTTAAAGGAATCGACTATATTTAAATATATTAAAATAAAAAAATGAAAAAAAAAATAATAAAAAAACCTAAAGTTATATGAATTCATTGCAACCGAAAATGCCTGACCTATTTTTAATGCGGTCATTATGCTTGACCTCTCAATTCTTTGTTCACCGCTCCTAATTTCCATTTAAAATATTTGATTGACAAAAAAAAAAAAAAAAAACCCCCCAGTGGCAGGGAACCATACTAATTAAATTCCATTCATCTTCCCTTCCATTACAATTCAACTTCCATTTCTAACAACAATCCATCTTGTTTCAAAACTCGATCAACCTCCAAAATAAAGTTGTCGTTTTGAAATTCTGATAAACTTGAGCTATCCACGAAATTGAGGATCACATCAAATGTTGATCTGTCGAACGGAATCCCATAAAGAAAATCACATTTAATGAATCCCGTGTTACTAAGACGCGATTCATCGTCGGGAAATTCCGATGCATCGCCAAGACATATATATACATTTGATGCACGGAACTTTTCGGCCATATCCAGGAGCCAGGTTCCCGTTTCAAATCCAATAATTAGGACCTTCATCCTTCCTAATTTTAATCGTCGTTTTAAGGAGGAAGGATATACGAAGTTGTTTTTGGTTCCGCTACAGCTACTGCTGTTGCTAGAGGTGTTGGTAGAAATGGTGGCGGCGGCAATTGTAGCTTTCGTGAATTCGAAGAATTTCGAAATTTTTTTGTTTAGAGAATTATCATTTGATTGTTGTTCCATTTTTTTAAAAAAAATTAATAATAATAACAAAAATGTCTTCAAATTGAATAATCAAAAATAAAATAAAAAAAACCAAGTCGGGAGGGAATACGTGGTTTTTATACCTTATTTCATAGAATAACTTTATCCAAATGCGTTTTGTAATACATGGCAACCAGGATTTTGTTCTAGATTTATCCATGTATATGGTTTCGTAAAAACAAGGATTTAAAATCTAAAGCTCATTGGTTCTCTGTATTGTATCGGCGATTATTTAAATAAACAAACACCTTTCCCGTGTAACCTGTTGAAAACTCCGTCATAAGCTTAAACAGGCCCGTTAATAAATCTGTTAATTAAAACATTAATATTTTACCCACTTGATACAGTGTAGTAAAGAGAATAATAATAATAATAATAATCAGTTCTCTCATTCCTTTGCTTAAACAAGAATGAAATGAATTCATAAAACAAGCAATTCCGTTAATTCTGTGCATAATAAAAAAAAGGGTAGGACGTATACCGGAAATTCCGTATTAATTACTGAATTTGTTATTTAATAAATTTTCATGAAAAAAGCTGATAATCAATTTATTGATAAACAGGGAAACTTTGTGAGACAAGTGCTGAAAAGTATACTTGAATCTCTTGTTATTGTTAAATTTAAATAAATATTCTAAAACGATAATTTGTCCAATCTTTTATTATTACTTTATTATTGAGAACAAGAGCAATATCAAAAAAAAAAAATGATGTTTGTTAAATTTGATAATCATGTATTGTCACACAAAAATGTAGAAACACATTTTTGCATTATTTGCTTTTTTTTAAGCTCAATAATACTATCGATACTTCTTTGTAAATTTGTAATTCCATTAGTAATCGGAATCCTAACAACAAAAAAAAATTTTTTGCTTTTACTCAATTTTTTTGTTGTCCTCTGTTATGGGGTTGTTTGGAACATGTTAATTCTTTATCATATTCTTTCGGTTCGATGATTCGATTTGTTTACTTTTCATTATAAGGGTTCTCTAAGCTCATGAAGCTCGAAAATTGGAAGTTGAATAGTTTTCCAATTTTGAATTCGGAATAAAAAAAAATTTAAATGATAATAAATAGACCTTTGTGCCAAATGTATGAAATTTAATTAATTCCTTTGTATGTATAAATTTTTTTTCTTTCAAATAAATAAATAAATAAAAAAATTATGGCGTAAAGGAGATAGATATATTAGTTATAGAAAATTAATTTGGCCCCGTTTCATGTATTGTTTTTCCGTGAAAATTTGTACCGCCTTTATTTATGATGGAAATCGGCAAATTATAACATAACTTTATTAAACGATTATTAACTGACGAAATTGTTTCCTTTTTATGAAAAATAAAAAATAAAGCCTTAACTGATAAAAAACTACGATATCTGATTAAAAAACTCTTATTTTGCCACAAGTATATTAATAATATATTCGATATACCAAAAAAAGCTAATGCATTATCAATCACTACAATTATTACTCATTTTAATAATCCAATGCCCCGAATCAACCCGAACTCTAATACTTATCGTAAATGTTGCGCAGCAGCTTGATGCGTGGGCTTACCAAACCCTTTGAACCACCAACAAGCGATTTTTTAATTCAATGCAAATTACAATTTTTATTAATTACTTTATATTAATAACAATAAGTAAAATAAGATACTTTTTTAAAAAGGGTAATTTTAAATTTCTAATATATTTTTAATGTAAATAACGAGTCGAGTGTATTTGAAGACCCTTTCATGTTAATGGCATAGTTCTCTTTCCTCAACTTCTATAACTAATTTATACCATCAAAAGAATTTTTCACACCTTTACACCCGACTAATCTTTTCGGTTCATTAATGGTTTGTACGAACTAACTGAAACAAGTTTATTATTTCTTAATTAGGTAGTTCAGTTTTTTGTCTTGAAATTAGTTTCAATCGACAATTAACCACATGATTTTATAGTCAGCTGACTTCGTATTGTTACAGATTCAGCGGTTTTAAAAAAAAAATTCGATGTTATTATGGACCAAATAGAAACGGATGATGATAATATTTTAGCTAAAGAGTCATCATCTTTATCTGAAGAACCACCAAATAAAAAACACAAATTGCGTGAATACCTTAGAATAAGTACTTGTGGTCTATTTGTTTATTGTTCATTTTGTCAACCACGTTGAAAAAAAGTCAACTGGTATTAGTACATTAAAAAAACATTTAACTAAATTTCATGGGAATATTTATAATCAGTAAAACAAAAACCTTAGTTACACGAATTACTTCTTTACTTATTATTGCAATCAACAACCATTTATGGTAGTTGAAGATCCTAGTTTTTGTGAATTATTAAAAAAACTTGATGGTGATATCAAACATTATCAAATGAAATTATAAAAATCAATGTTTATTAGTAAGCAATATTTTAAGCAAAATGACACAAAAATGGTGATGTAACCACTTCATTAGATTGATAATGATTGGAATATTAGAAATAATTAGATTTTATGGAATTGGTAACAATATTATTGCAGCAGCAACTGATAATGGATCAAATATGATTACTAATAATAATTTCAATATTATTATTATGCTTCTAATGTTTTAAATTTAATTCTTATGAAAGGATTAAAATTTGTTGATACTGCAATCATAAAAGCAAAAAAATTACATCAACAGGGTAGTTATACTTATATCACTATATCAATCATTTTGCCAATCATATTTTATATTATCATATTGGCCTTTGCAAATATCGATACTTCAGATTCCTCTAAAAATATTGAAATTTATCATATTACTATTACATTTAATAGTTTATATTACAAAAAGTTTAGTACAAAAGTCATATAATATTTTAATATGAAATAAAAAGTTGGAATTAAGCCAAAATTTTCAATAATTTAATTAGTGTCAAATCTTATACTAATCTAACTTTAAAGCTTTGGGTGAAGCCACAGATGTTCTAGCAAAATTAAAAATTTTTAGAATATATTCTTTAACTATTTAAAAATCTATTATCAAAATAAGTAAGCAAAATATTAGGTAAGTAAGAAGTTATCATTAAATAGAAGTAAAGAATTTTTTATAAATAATCAATTAAAAATATTATGACAATAAAAATTGATATTAAATTTATTTATATTAAAATAAAGTTATATGCAAAATTTTAGTATATATTATTATGTAAGATTTTTCAATTAAAACTAATTTACTTATAAAATACATTTTTAACAATATGATAAATGATCAGTAAATGATCAACAAATTGTGATAATATGAAACATATCCATCCTACTATTTATATCAATAATTCATAATTTACAACCAAATTTTGAAAAGTTAAAAAAATATTTATTATGAAAAACAAATTATTTTATCTAGTCTTGATATTCTAATTAGATGGAATAATACATTTTTAATTACTAATATATTTGTTATTTTCAATCATTCTTTAAAAGATTATTATTTAATTAAATCTAATTAGATTAAAATTAATATAAATTATTAATTTTTTTATTATTACATTTTTAATTTTTAATTCATCTATTAATTTTATACAAAAATTATATATTTTTGAGCCAATTTATCAAGTTAATATGGGTTATAGATTAGCAAAATATATCTTTGAAACCCTCCTGTTAAAAAAATTTTTTTACTCCAATATAAACTTAATATATTTAACTATATAAGATTTAATTTTTAAATCATGTAAGCTTAATAAATTGTGAAGTTATTTCAATTGAAATTTTTGTTATTAAAAAGGATCAGCAAGTTTAAAATAAGAATATAACAGTTAAGGTTGCTTGTCTAAACTCATTTTAGATTTGGCTAAATGTTATTAATGTGTAATTCTTGCAAACTACAACTGTTAGACGGGGTGTTAGAGTGTTATTTCTTTTTAATTGCACAGTAATCTTAAGACTTTACAGGTTGATTATTACGACTAATTCAAGTAAAGGTTTCAAGTCAAGATTTATACGAGTATTTTACAATCAATAATTCACGAAGTATCGAGTAATTATATTTTCAAATAAGATGTTTATTGATAAGAATAAAAACAGAAATAAAGAAAAGAAAAGAAAAGAAATGAAGTATGAAACTATAATGTAATACGATAGGCCTGTTTGCCTTTTAAAAACTACTAAAAACTGACTTATCAAATCCTACTTTTTACATGGTCTAAAAAGCTGTCTATTTATATAAAATACAGTATATAGAAAATATAACTAATATGTCTAATATATCGTATATGTCAAGTATATCTGATATGTCATATATGTCGAATCTGTCGAATATATCGTATTTGTCGATCATGTTAGATATGTCATATATGTCAGACATGTTAGAATTGTTAAATATATTAGATTTGTCAATCATCTGCGCCACATAGATCCTATCATATTTTATCCGTTCACAATGTCTAAACCTTTAATTTTGCTAATTTTACTAAGTGTTTGATATAGTTTTGCTATTTTTATAAGCTTTGATATAGTTTTATCTTTTTCTGAATTTTGTAGATTTTTTAATAAGGTTTTAATATAATTTAACCAAGTTTTACCTTTACCATTTAAACGTCTGTCTAAACTCTGGATTTTGTCTAGCAACTTTAATTGCAGTATTTATATTTGAGGAGATGATACAATATAAATGATTTCGTAAGTAAAAAAAAATAAAATTCTTTTATTTGCCAAAAATAAATTGGCTAATTGTCAAATATTTCTATTAACCACAGTAAAGATGAGGGATGAAACCTAAAAAAAGCAATTAATAAACAACCAAAATAATATTAAAATATAATAAGAAGTATGACGAAACCCAAAATTAACTGAAATTATATTAAAAATATAGTAAAGCATGTAAAGCGTATGACAAAATTATTTTGAAGGAATTTTGACAAGCATCTTTAAACTATAGATTTAGAACATGTAATATTCTGAAATAGCTTATCAACAAATTTTTAAATATTTTTATACAAATATTCTTGACGCATTAATAATAAAGGTTTAGATAAAAATATAGATATTGGAGTTTTAAAATCGATGTGTTTGTCTTTTAAAATATCAAAACAGCCAAATTCTCCTTTCACTTCATTTTGAACAAATACTTTTCCTGTTTCATTTTTTTTAAACCAAAAATGTCAATATTTTTAAATATCAGGTAATTTTTTAAAATGGGATTTTAAAAATGATTCAAAATTATTAGTCCGGAGTGTTAGCAAAGGACTATTTACTTTTCTATACATTGTGTCCGTTTGTTCACCTGCTTATCATTTGAGACGACAAATATCGGCTATTTATAAATACCGTAATATATTTTTCTAAAAAAGAAACTGCTTGCAACATAGATTTAATAAATTTTTCCTAAAATGTGTTGTATTTATTTTTATTAGATGTAATGACATATTCAATGATATTGACATAATTAATTCACGTTATTTTAAGCTCCGGACTTCACAACGGTAATACCGTTCCCTAATAATATAACCATCCACTTCTCTTATTATAGTGAATAGTATAATTAGAGCTATTTTTAGTGATTTTTTTACTACTTGTTCAATATCATCCACTGTATTAATTTGCGTTTTTTGAAAAAGAGCTTTAATCTTACCAAAATATTTATCTGGCAAAAATTTGATATGTTCTGGAATCATAAAACTAACTTCAATAATTTCATACATTCCTATTATTGTCAACCAAGACAAAAAATAAAGAGAGGTTATTCTTATTTTAAGCTATACAATTATCATAAGTAACTTTTAAATGTTGTTCTTCTTGATAAAATCTTATCAAAGTATTAAATACAAGATTAATAGTTGTATTAGCTTCTTTTTCTGCAGAACTAGATTGGAACTTATCTTTACTAATTAAATAATTTAATTGTTACTTTTGTTGTGTATTACATATACCAAAAATATGTATTGTGAATGCTGTTTTAAAAAAAATTGTCCAGCTTGCTGTAATGAAAAGAAAACAATAATATTTTGCGCTCAATCACAACAAATATGAACTGTTTCTTTAGATTCATTATTAGTTATAATATTATTATTAGGGTTCCGCAAAATCAAATCAAATCAAATCAAATCAAATCAAATATTTGACGAATTAAATCAAATCAACCAAATTAAATCAAAATGATTAAATATATATATATATTTTTTAAGATGCAGTGAAGCATTTATTTATTAAAAAAACATTTTCATAATATAAATTAAAGAAAATCACAAAATGGATACATAAAGTAGAAAATAAAGTAAATGCTACCTAACCTTCGTCAAAGGCATATTGCCTTTTCCAACAAAACCAACTGATCATTCAATTTAAAAAAATTAATTAAATTCACATTATAAAAATTTTTTTTAGTTAAGTTTTTTTACATTTTTAATTTTATATTTAATAACATTTACAATTTACACAATTAGAACTTTATATTTTTTTTTTCAAAAAAAAAAAGTACTATTATTCTGATACTCTTTTTTTTATTATTATTAACCATTATTATTTCTCAAATTATACAAAAAAATTATACATAAAAAAAATTAAAACATATCAGACTTTAGTTAACTTTTAAGACACATTATCACACAAATTGTATCACTTCCAAGTCTATTACGTTCTGGTGTAATCACATTGCCACTTTGACTTAATAATCATTTTACAGGCGCACTAATAGATGGTATTGATAAATAAGCATAAATAATGTTAGATTATTAATTTCGTGATCTTTTCACCATTCTTATACATTTATAGTTCTTAGTTTTAGTTAATTATCAAGATAATTAAATAGTTCATCATATCCATTATTATTTTGAAAGCGTTTAGGAATAGGAAATAAAGAATCTTTATCATTGCTATCCTCATTATCATCAAAAACAGCAGGTATTGAAGTTGGAAAGTAAATAGAACGATATTTATCAAATTTACCTACAAATCTAATTTTAATAATAAAAATTTTTTAATATTTATAATTTATCCAATTTCTAAGTAAAAATTAATTTACTTACAAATTTTTGCTTTTCTATAAAATATATTATCATCATTTTCTATCTAGCTTCGAAAATATTAAAGCTTCTATCATAGATCAATAATCGTAGAAATGTAATGTACTGATTCAGAAGTTTTATTATAATATTCACTAAGCTTATTCTATGCTACTTTGCAACTGCAACTAATGATTTTGAAGATTTTCCATCCTTTATTATTTTTCAGCATGATCTATTAAATGATTATACATGGGGTAAACTAAACTTATGGTAGGATAAGTCAATACGCATATTTCAGTTGAAATTCTTGCAAATCACTTTAAAAAAATTACAATTTCTTTAAGAGATTTTTCCAATCTAATTGAGTTAAGCTAATATCTCTGATGAATGAAAATTCATTAGTTAAAACAATCTTATCAAAAACCTAATTATATAAATTCTTTAATTAATTATATATAAATCTTTAATAATTTAAATTTTAACTAAAATACTAACCACTTCCAAATCTAAAGCACGTTTAATCATTTCATATGTAGAATTCTAATGAGTCGAAACGTCTAAAATCAGAGACAGATTTTCAATGCCATTAAGATTTGAAATTTCTTTGAATTTTTGTCATCGTTTGGGAGAAGAACAACATTTAATAATAATATTTCTGATTCGATCTATTTCATATTTAAGTTCTTTTAAAGCATATTGAACAACAAGGTTCAAAACATGAGCAAAATATCAAATGTGATTATTTTTAACAAAAAAAGTAATATTATTTTTTAATGCCTATAAGCCAAGCTGTATAAATGCTGTGTCATTATTAGGAGCATTATCAGTTGTAATACAATTAATCTATAAAATTAATTATATATATAATTTCTATTTGTGATACAAAATCAAAATAAACGTATGTTAATAGTTCTACAAACCTTTGTAGAAATCTTGTATGTATCTAATATATTGATTAACTTTTCAGCTATGTGTTCACTAGAATGAATGCCTTCTAACTTATTAAAGTCAAGTATAAGCTCTTGAAGATTCTATGATTTGTTAATGAAGTAAATTATAATACCTATGTATGTTTTAATTACTATAGAAGTCCAAATTTCCAAAGAAAATGATACTTTTCCTGGAGTTTCTGCTATATATTTTTGGATATAACTTTGAAATTCGATAAACTTTCGCATTATATCTCTCTTTATTGTATCAGAGAATACAATTGTAAATCCAGTAGCCTTTTCCAACACATTTTTGATTCTTCCTTCAATAATTGAAAATGTGTGATCTTTAAGGATAATCTATTCTCGTAAAGATTTTTGTAAACTACTTTCTGTAATTGGCTAATAATAAAATTATAATTAATTATTATACATATAATATATTTATTTGCTTTAAAAATAAAATGTTAATATATGATTTACTTACACTATTAGTTATATTTGAGCATTGTTCGATTGTGTACTGATTAGTTAGCATACTAATTAGAGACTTATGCACTTTTTTTACGTGAGCTCAAAGGTTTAAAGTTACACCACTATTAACTGAGTAAATTACATTTTTACAAGTATTACATTTTGTGATAAATTTGTTGTTTTTTTTCTTTCGAAAAAAATTTCCAAATATTTGATTTTGATGAAGGAGAAGGAAAAGGAGGTAAGATTTTTTCATGCTCATGATTAACTTCATTTTCTGTATCATTCATATTTATAAAAAATAAGAACAATAGAAAAGGTCTTATGGCTAAATTTTTGGGCTATGAGAACAGTTTAGTGTGGTCAAAATTTTGGACTATGAAAACAGCTTAGTAAGAACATGTTGTTAAAATTTTGGGCTGAAAGAACAAGATTAAGAAAATTCTAACGTTATTTTTCTCGAAAAAAAAATATGATAGATGATTAAGAAATATTTCTGATCTTTTTAGGTTTCATGATACTCTCAAACTTGATTTTATTAAATTAGCGAAAATCAAGTTTAGGAAAATTTCCCATTAAAACTCAACTTTACATTAATATTACCTAATCTTTACATCATTTTTCCATTATTTTCTATTGTTTAAACCTAATCAGTGTCAAACTTATCCTGATTAAAATTTGATCATTTCCGATCAATTTAATTTCAAAAAATATGGTATAATGACATATTACAATTAAAATTAGCGAAATTATTAAGTATTGATCAAATCTAATATATTAATATAATAAATTAAATTAAGAATTTTGTAATAATTCAATAATTAGCAAATAGTTGAGTTATAAAAAATGCTGACATAATAGAAATTTTACATGATTTATTATATTGAATTAGAAAATTCATATCGCAAAATAAATTTCAAATGAATAATACAAAAAAATGCTGACATTAAATATTTTATAAAATCAAATTAAAAATTTTATAATGATTCAATAATTAGCAAAAAGTTGAGTTATTAAAAATGCTAACATAACAGAAATTTTGCATAATATATTAAAAAATTTATGTCGCAAAATAAATTTCAAAATAATAATATAAATTTCATACAAAAATGTTGACATATTAGATATTTTAAGTAAAAGCTTTTTACAAAGTAGAAGATGAATGAATCATTCAATTATTCGAATATTCATATGTGTTATATAATTTAAATATATAAGTAAGATTTTTTCTTTTATTTTTTATTAATTTAAATAAAATTTTAATTTTAACAAAATGTCTTTATCAAATGCCACCTCTTCAACCTCTTCAGCTCGTTTAACTCATGCAATTTGTGCAATTCATGTCAAATAAATGAATGAATCAATACGCGCGTTCATTGACGAGTGAAAAATCACAACCAAATAAATACTTTATTTATAATATATATGTATAATATTTACAAATTGCTTTTTAAATCGTTAAGGTTAATTATATATATATATTTCTAGGAATATCATGATATAGAAGGTACCTCTAGAAAAGAATTTTGGAGAAGCGTTATGGTTGTGGTAAATCTTACTTGTGAAACTGCTTTACAGGCCTTCATTGGCCAAAGAAAGTTCAGTTTCTTAGTTATCCAATATAATGTAACCAAGTAACCAAAATAATATAAAAACAAAAGAAAACATGCATTAAATATAAGTAATTTTAATAAATTTTTTCTTTTTTCTCTCT